GCAAAGACATTGGTTAATAGAATGGGATTAAATACATAAAGGATATTTGTGTTGTTTAACATTTAATTATTGCGGGTTTGCGTTATATTCTGAGTTGCATTATTTTTATTCATTTATTCATTTTTATTTATACTGAATCTGTGTTTTGTTTTGTTTTTTGTGAGTGAGATGAATTAATGCATATTCATATTTATTTTAGAACTACAGTAACATCTGATTTCAAAACAGGTTTATCAAACTGTATTCATCAAGTCATCAATCCGTGATAAATTACGCTTCATGTAGAGAGGGGCTTTGGGCTGGAGTATAATTACATATTTGCAGCACTTAACATTCAGGAACACAGTGTCCCTAGTTCATTCTCTGATGGAGACATTGTGGCTCTGTTCCAAAACCTGAGCTAATGCAGTGAAATGGAACCATACAAGTGACTGATTTGGAACATTCTACATTAAATGAGCAACTTTGTGCAGCTTACAAACAGCAGTCATAACGTCATAACGCATGAGAGACTCAACTAACAATTGAGTTCAATTGTTTGGCATTAGCTTGTTGCTAAACTAACAATGTGATACTCCAATAAATTTACTTAAAGTAATAAGTAAAAACAAATGGTCAAAATCTCAACTATTTTCTTTTAAAATGTACATTTTAAATATAAATCAATAATATAATATAATATAATATAATATAATATAAATCTTAGGCATATATTAAACAGATTTTTAAAGATTTAATTTTTCATTCAAATTATTGTTTTCAATTGAGCATGTCAAAGGCAGCCAAACGGAATCACAAAATTAAAGCAAGATTCAACTACGGCAAACATCAATTCAAGAAAATATTAGTTGGATTGTTTCATTGCAGTTCTATAAATGGCAAAAAAGCAAATTTTTGTATAGTATGCATTGGTACAATTATACATGACATGGGATTAAAAAGTTTGAACAAAAATGTCCAAATAAAAACAAATAAAATGTATCTTGCTTCGATCATTATCCAGCATGTCACAATGTATTATAGGTTTATATTTTCCATGAAGGATATATGCAACCCTGGTGAAAATTGGGCCACAAAAAGAAAGCAGCGTAATCATCCTGCCTCCCTTTCAGGACAGCATCTATGATGCTTTGAAAATGCTGCCTACATAGGAGGCTCTATAGTTTTGGAATGAAGCCACTTCTGAGTGTTTCAAAGGAGAAGAAGGAGTGGAACGTTTGGAAAGAGATCTAAATAACTTCTAGTAGATGGAGGAAGCTCCTCAGCATGTAATTTTGCACATCACTGTGGTGTCCTTAGAGAAACATATATGACATTTGAAGTGAGCAGCAATATAGTGAGTAGGATTACATTTTCGTCACTTTATTACCTCAATGCAGTCAACTCTCTTGCACATGCAGTCTATGTGAACTCACTGGGTTATTATAAATGAACTGCCATAACTATAATCAGGCAAATATCACTTAGCAATACTTCTAGGGCATTTCTGTTAATATTATTAATGCAAGCCTTGCTTTACATATAGTATAGTACACACTATTTATTGAATACAAATAGCTTAACGTAGCTCTTTTCCCACCTAGTTTTTCATTTTGTGTGTGATTTAAAAGACTGAAAAGACAATCTGTTTTAGAGCGCATGGGTGTACTAGATAGACAGGAAGGAGTGTCAGGTTTACCAAGCACTTGTTGCTGTTGTCTTCATCTTTCTCCTCATAGTAGAAATACACAAAGGGGATCCAGAGGAAGACGCAGAACACAATGATGGAATACAGAGCTGTGAAAGAGAAAAGATGGGCAGTTACACACCTGGAGCACACTCAACCATCATGATCCACATTAAATACAGCATATTATGCATAATGTATTTAGATGTCACAGGGTCAGTGAAGTGGCACTCATTTTGTGTCCAGATGTATTTAAAAACATAAAAAATGCAATTTGTACACATGATGACCTATGCCTCTTCTATTATGAATTATTTTTGAATAAATTCGGTGTGTCAAAAAGTAAAAATGTCAAGGTTGCATGAGTTTGTAAAAGAAAAAACGATTCCAATTATAGGTTAAATTATAGGTTAAAATTATTAAAAATATATTTTGAAAGGAATAAGATGATGGAAGCAGTTTGGAAAATAATATTTCATATATAAAAATAAAAAGTATTTATTAAAAATATATTTGTCTCGTCATCCCCTCCTCCTGTGTGTATAAATAGTGTTCCCGGTGTGTGCTCCAGCGTCCGGTATTGTGTATGTGAATGTTCATGTCTTCATGTATAGCGTGAGTGTTCCGTGGTCCTTTGTGTCAATTAAACCCATTTGGATTGATGTACTCCTCGTCTCTCTCCGTTCCTTGCTCCTCACTCCGCTCAGCAGTGCACCCCTGACAATTTCAGTATAAATATAAATTTTTTTAATTTATATTTTCAATTTTAAAAATATTTTTAAGAACGTATGATTACTGCCTGCCTGCTTACAACACTTCACATTTGTTAAACCAAAATCTTTGTTAAAATGGTATAAATTTATTTCTTTAAAAAATAAACCAACATAAATTATATAGATAACAGTAAAGATCGAATTTCTAATCTAGTTACATAGATTTTTCAAGATTCTATTTTTCATTAAAATTGTTGTTTTTCCATTGAGCATGTAAAAGCCATCAAACTGAATCACAAAATTAAAGCAGGATTCAATAATAGCAAATATCAATTCAATCTAATTTTAGTTGGTTCGATAAATAGACTTTATAAGTGATCTAAAACAAATTTTTGTATAGTACACATTGTTACAAGTATACATGACATGTAAACACGTGTCAAGTGAAAAATATATGGAATAAAGGGTATGAACACAAATCAAGTGAAATCAATGTCTTTACACGTAAAGACTCCTAGAAACCAATAAAACTCCCACATGATGAGTCCTAAGCCCCAAAGCACAGACAAGCTGAAATAATCAAGTTAAAGGAGCAAAGATCACTGATATTGCAAGAGTTCACATAACAGACTGTGACAGGCAGAGAAAGTGATTTTGTTGATTCCTCCCTTTCCCTGTCATGCAATGAATTAAAATCGTCAGCTTGCCCTATTTCAGTCCTGAAGCGGATCACACACGTTTGTGACCCTGTAAATTGTCATCTTCACTTCTCATGTAGGTTACTCAGTTGATACAGGTGATTTGAATAATACATCCTTCTTTAGTTTTGGAAAATGTCATCATAAAGCCCTGCAGATATGTTTGCATTCATGAATGGAGTGGATTAAGAAACTGCAGCTGAATCCATAAGAAAAAAAAAAATCTGGAGTGCACAAGATAAAACCATATCGCACAACACCCTGAACATCTTTCTCCAAATAGAAACAGGTCTGTAATTACATAGACTGTCTCCCACATTGGCAACACACTAGAACGGCTTGCAATGACCTACCATGAGCACGAAAAAATAATCCATCATTCTGTCTGCGGTCAAGTAGGACAAAAAGCTCATTTCCGTGAACATGTAAACATGCTCTGCACACATCAGTCAAATGTGTACATGTGTGTTAATTTGATAAATGCTTCGATTTCAAAAGATAGATGTGTGAAAAGGACAGCGGAGTGCGTTTCTGTCGGGTAAAACATAAATGTTTTTTAACAGCAGGCGAGGAGGAAAACAGAGCAGCAACATTTCAAAATAAAAACATAATGGGATGAAAACGGTTATTGTTATTGTTTCATGAGCCCCGCAGCTGATTTTGCCAGCTGCTCGTGTGCTTTTCAAAACTAAATTTTTTGATTGCTGCACTTTTTCTGGATTACTGTGAGGGATTCGGTCATATGGCTCTTATCCGTGAGTTCAGTGGATCAAAGCTGCTCATACAGAGAAACTCTGAACTATCACACGCTCTCGCTACAATTTGCCTTGTGGCATCTGACCATCGCTCAATTTTCTTATATTTCTGCACAGTTTTGCGTGATTAAAGGGGTCATATTATGCTTTTTTAAAGATCATTATTTGGTGTTAAATAATTTCTCATGGTTTCGAGTATTTGTGTAAAGCTTTCAAGAGGTTCAACCCATCCTGTATCCTGAAAGAAATGCCACACAGTTTGTGTTCTCAAGGCAAACCACATGCATCAAACTCTAGAACAATCCAAAGCACCCGGTATCAATTTGCTGCAATTAGAAATACAATAACAGTTTAAATTGTATCTGTCAGGAGTGTTTGTTTGGCTAATTAGTGGTGTTTGCTGATCCCTGTTTCTGTGGCATATACTTGAGGTTTGAGTTTTGAACAGCCATTCATGTCAGTTTATGCTATGGACATGATTGATACCTCAAATCACATGGCTTGCCAATGTGTATTACTGCTAAAGATAATCACTACGATCAATATTTAATAAAACTGTTTTCTACTTAAAGGCACAATATGTAAGATTTTTTTATTAAAATATCCAAAAACCACTAGAACAGTTTTATATATTTTGTTGACTTGTGTACTTAGAAGAATGTTTAAATCCAGAGAAATAAGCAATTTTAACTAGTGACACGGACCGTGTCTATAGTGTCATTGTGTCGCCTGCCAATGACGTCATACACCCTCGATTTCCGGGTTTTTTTGTAGAAAACATGGAAACACCAAAGACGCTTTAATATGCTATGCATTTTATTAGACAGGTGACGACCACACAGAGTAGCATTATAACAGAACGTTCAAATGTATCTAGTA